TTCGAAATCCAGCAAAAAATTATAAGAAGTACTTAAGAAATGTAACTGCTGAATAATGAAATAACTTGCAATTTGAAACCCAAGAATGCAAACAAACAATTGTAAAATTTTACAACAAAGTTTGGCATTTTCAGTACGAAAATACGAAATTAAAGAATTTAAAGATAAATATTTCTTTATTTTCTAAATATAGTTTTATTTGATAGTTGCGCTGCGCCGTGTTCTCCATATTTTCAAAACGAGAATACGGATTTCAAACAAGGATATGTATCGAAAACTTTATTTTATGTCGCTTATTAAATCGTTACAAATTATACAATTTTATCATACTTACATTTTAAAATAAAGAACAAAATTTAAATGAACTTGTTAAATTTCAAATTTTGGGTGACATTCAACATAAAGGGTGAGTACTATTCTGCTTCAATTCTCAAAGACGAGAATCACAGAACACCATTATTTATGGAGAATGGGTTTTGTATGCTGGAACGCCAAAAGATCCAGCCGAGGATCTAGCTACTCAACCGATTTTTACTAAAATTTATACTTGAGTTAACTTTGAGGATGAGATTATTTGATCAACTTTTCGAATATGTCAAAACTAATGGTCAGATATACATAATTGATTGTAAGAACAAAAAGATCGATAAATTATCTGTGAAACAAGTGTTTATTGGTTACTAAATGTTACATGATTCCGTAGTTATTAGTATTTATTTATATAAAGGAAAAATCTGGGACCGATTTTTTCAACAGCTATAGTTCGAAAAAGAGTACACCTGCATCACCATAATCCCCACCCTGCACTTTTCCTCCTCCCGCACACAATTTTTGTTGGGAATTGACCAAAGAACCATCACTAAAATTATTTGCCACTTTATATGAATCACCTTGTATACATACACGCATGTCTGTAATATTTCATAAAGTATGAATTAGTATGCATTTGCATTTTCTTCTTTATAAATAACATTATTTTTATAGCTCGTCTAATGTCTTTATATCTAACAAGTCCCACTGCTAAGAGAGAAACTTGAAAGCACAACCTTATTTTATATGGGTTTTTTTTTTAATTGAAGTTGCTATTTTTTGAGAAGTATTAAAATAAATGCACAATTATTATAAAGCAGGTAAAATTCCAAAAATATATTTAAAAAATCAATTAAATATATATCAATATTTTCATATTATTTTCATTTATTTTAAAATTCTTAAAATACAATTTTTGGAAAAGACAATCCTATATTTTTACGACCGGATTTGAATATCTTTTTTATTTTTGAAATAAATAGTATCTCAGCAAATGGCTCAAAAATTCCAAATGTATAATGACAGAGAGTCATGTAAATTTTCGTCCGTTTGCATTTACTATTAAGATTCATACACAGCCAAGACCATTTTATAAATAGATTACTCTTGTTTACCTGCTATTAAAACATGAAACGAGAGCAAAAATTAATTATTAAGCACTCAATATAACATGTTTGAACTAGTTTTAAAATAATTAGATAAAAAAAATTGATTGAAAGTAGGTACATATATTATATTTATTTTTAATAACTTAAAAACTAATTGAAATTATTTGAAACAATTCTATAAGTAACGTGTAAATAACCGAAATGAGATGATTCAAATTGTTGAAATGTGTCAACCTATATTACTTTTATTAACATTTTTGTTAGCCGACACTACTGAACTTACCTTATTGAGAAATAAAGAATGTACTACATGAAAAATTATACATCCTTCCTCATTAACATTTGAAACCATACTGAAATATGAATTTAAATGTTTTTTTAATTTTTTCCTCCTCCTACCTTTCTTTCTTTTTCGTGCAATAGAATTAAATGGAAAGCTTTTTAAAAAATGTGTATAATATCCTGAGTAATGTCTTTATATCTAACAAGTCCCAATGCTCAGAGAGAAACTTGAAAGCACGACCTTATTTTGTATGGGTTTTTTTAAATCGAAGTGGCTATTTTTTGAGAAGACATATTAAAATAAAATAACACTTTATAATAAGTATAAACAGGTAAAATTTAGAAAATATATTTGAAAAATCAAAAAAATATATTAATATTTTCATTGATAATTATTTTAAAATTTAAAAAAAAGCGGAAAAACAACAAGCACATCCTTCGCCTTCAACGTTTTATATGTTACTGAAAGCATTTCATTATTTTTAAGTGAACAGCTTTTTTTTCTCATAGGGTAAGTTAACTCAAGATATGGGGAGTAACTGTGGTGTCAAGTTGAAAATATAATTAAGGAAAGATAATTCTTAAATATTGATATAAATACATAGTAAAGAAAAAATTTGAAGAGGGATTTAGAAAATAATATCTAAAATACAATCAAATATTATTTGTTAAATACAAATTTTCAAATTTTATATAAACTTCAAAATTTTACCTCTATTTTTATTTGAAAAAATATTAAAAACTTACTATCATTTATATCAATTACCTAAGAAAAAAAAATATTTAAAATGTTTGGAAAAAACAATCATATATTTTTATGACCGGATTTGAATATTTTTTTATTTTTGAAATAAATGGTATTTTACCAAATGACTCAAAAATTCCAACTGTAAAATAACAGGTATTTTAAAATTTTTGTTCAGGTATTTTAAAATTCTTTCCGTTTAGAATTAAGATAGGTCATACATACACATGCAGGGACAAATAGATTGCTCTTGTTTACTTGCTAATAAAATATGAAAAAAGAGCAAAGCAAAATTTTTGAAGCACTTAATATAACATGTTTGAAATAGTTTTTAAATAATTATTTAAAAAAAAATTGATTGGAAGTAGGTACATAGATATTTATTTTTAATAACTTAAAAACTAACTGAAATTATTTGAAACAATTTTATAAGTAACGTATAAATAACCAAAGTGAGATAATTCAAATTGTTGAAATGTGTCAACTTATATTACTGCTATTAACATTTTTGTTAGCCGACACTACTCAACTTCCCATATAGGGAAATACAAAATGTGCATAAAAAATCATACATGCCTCCTCATTAACATTTGAAACCATACTGAAATATGAATTTGAAATTTTTTTCATTTTTTCTTTCCTCCTACCTTTCTTTCTTTTTCGTGAAATAGAATTTAAATGGGAAGCTTTTTAAAAAATGTGTATAATATCCTGAAATTTTTGAAAATATTAAACTCTTTTTTACGTAAAAAAAGAAAAAAATAGTAAGAAATATGACACGATCAGTAGCATTTAAAGAAAAAAACAGGAATCAAGCCAAAAATTGGTAATATTTCGTAAAAAAAATTGGGTATTGGGACTTGTTAGATATAAAGACATTATCCTAAGATTTAAAATATTAAAATCTTTTTTGCGTAAAAAAAAGAAAAAATAATAAGAAATATGACACGATCAGTGGCATTTAAAGAAAAAAACAGGAACGAATTCAAAGATTCGTAATATTTGGTAAAAAAAATTGAGTATTGGGACTTGTTAGATTTATCGAGCTAATAGACGAGCTAATATGTACATTAGCTCGTCTAGTAGAAGTTAATATATACATTAGCTCGTCTATTAGAAGTTTGAGTTACCGTGACTTCAATAATGCCTTATAAAAAGTTTAAGTACGGTATTAATACGGTGGTGGTACCGTGTCAGAGCTTTCAATATCTTTACATTGTAAAAAAAACTGCTAAAGCTTTTGATACATTTTGGAATACAATTTTTACAATATTAATACATACTTTGACGTCTGTTTGAAAATTTCAATTTAAAGTTCTGTGCAAATGTTAATTTTTAAGAAACGTTACCACTTCATTAAAAACATAGCATATTTATGCTGCATTTTGGGAAAAAAAATTGATAACTAGAACTTTATTGCTGAAAATATATGCTGGTTTATTTTATCGGTTATTTCTGGCAACATTTATATGACAAGGTATAAGAAAAGCGTGCTCGATTTTTTCGACACCAGATTTATAATAAAATTACGTCTCCAATACGTATAAAACGCATTTAGGAAAAGTGTACAATGTTTTGGAACTTGATACTTTGTAAAATTTACAAAGTATCAAAACTTGATACTTTGTAAAGTCAAACTGCGTTTTTACTATTCTACGACGCTTAAAGAGAACTGCAACGGCTATATATTACAAAAACAAGTTTTTGGTGAATTAAAATAATGTCGGAACATAGTGGAACTGGAACACATTTGGTTGTCTTGTCAAGCTGTTTAAATTTATAACAAAATCAAAAACAGAGATGATCGTTTTTATAAACGAACGTATCAAATGGATTAGTTTAAATTAAATAAATATATTAATCAATTTTTAATAAGTAAATTTTCAAATTAATAAAAATTAGTTGTTGAAGCTTTTATGCTCCGTGTAACGAATAATTGTTATTAGAAATAAATTTTTTTTCGCTTATATATTGAAACTATATATTGAAGATAGCAAAACAATAAGCCACATTGTCAAATCACTGTTCACTAATATAATATAACATAATTCTTTGCTCATTTTAAATAGGCCATTGAATCTTGTTGCTCCTATTGAGCGTTGTTTCACCCACATCAGCTGATTACGTTGTAGTTGTTCTTATTGAATGTCGAGGGTTAACATTTCAATTAAAGTCAAGTAAGCAAATTTTTTTGTTGAATTGAGTGGAGCCGGCTTCAAGTCAAGTAACATTTATATAGACATTGAATAAGCTTCAAGCATTTACCCTTGAAGCAGCCATATATACGAGATATGTATGTATATACATATTACTACAAACTACATGATACTCAGTATCTATTGTGCATAATTATGTATGTACATTATATACATATGTACAATATAACAATATGTATATGAAATTTTAAACTTATATCTGTTGCTTTCATACATTCGAACATTTTTACCTAACTTTTATGAAATGAAAAATAAAATATAACGAAAAATAAATTTTTGTTTTTAATAAAGTTAAAATTTATCAAAATTTTTACCTCACTTAATTTAATTTTTTTTCAGTTCGCTGTTTTTCATACACTCGTTTGTTTACAATATTTTATTTCGTTTTTGCCTACACAACTCTTATTACCATCTATTACTTAATAAAAATATTTTAAAAATAGTGGAAGGGCAAGCAAATGAGAGCTAACGGCTTGGAACGCATTGCACTGGTAAAAAAATACATATACTTTGATAGATGCTTTGACGTTACTTACCCAGCATTTACACGTACAAGTTACTTGCAAGAAAGTTGCAATACATACAAAAATTTTACTAACACATTGAAATATTTCTACTTGCTTGTTTACTTGCAGTTCAACTTGCAAGAAAATTTTGCTGCCAGTAATTCGAGCAAGTAATTTGACATATTGAGAAATTCACAAAAAAAAATTTGTTGTTTTGATTTTTTTTTTTTTTTTAATTTAAAATTTTTGAATTTTGTTTTGAAAAAATTAAACTTAGCAAACTTATGGTTTCTAAAATTTATAAACAATTATATATATTGCTAGTTGTTTTCTTCTCAAAGACATTTTCAAAAATTAAATTGCTAAACGCCTACGTCATAATAGCAAGTAATTTGACATTTCGAAAAACTAATTGACAATTAATATTATACAAACTTGCATGCAAGTAACTTGTATGTGTAAATGCTGGGTTACACAAATCAGTTTATGAAATGTGAATATCAATTTGTGTTCCCACTCGCTTAAAAAATGTAACCAATGATTGGTAAAAAAATCTATGCAAAACGTATCAAACCTCACTACATAATAGACTTTTAAGACAAATTCATTTATGAAGAAAAAGGGTTTAAAACCTTTATTCGTATAAAAAATGTTATTTTAGGTACTTTTTTACATAATATGTTTATGGTATGTAGGTTTACATCATTTCTTATTCTCAGTTTTTTTTTTAAATATATACATAGATCAATTATTTTTTTCACTACTCTATTTTTTTTTTAAATGTTCATCGTATGTATTAGTTTATGATACGTGTTAAAAATCTTCTAACTATATTAAGTTTCAAAAAAATTTTCAAAACACTTGCAAAAACGAGCTTGATAGTGGACATTATTTAATGGCTTAATCAAAAAAAATTTGTGACACTGACATTTTCTTGTATATTATACGTTTAGTTATTATTTAATTACTTAATTTTCAAAAGACTTAAAATTAAAAAAAACAAGGATGCGTTAAAAACAGGGAAGCGGTTTTGAAATTTTAAAAATTTTTTTTATAAAATTTTTGATACTCTTTGAATTGAAAATTATATGGTTAGTAAAAAATTTTTAATATGACTTGCAAATAAAGGGAAAATGTATCCGCTTTGATACAAATTTATTAAAGTGCGAATATGGCTGTTTCACATTTTTATTAGATTTTTTATTTTCTTTCTTTAATTCATTTTGGTAAATATAGTAAGCATTGATTAAAACTAAATATGTACATAGTATGTGTTATAATCAGGTATACACTTATACAGTTTTGATCACAAACACAATCACTGTAAGAGCGTAACGTGATTACATGAATTTGACTTATTACTTGATTACCTTTTTTTTGGCATTGCTTTTCCCCAAGTTGTATTAGAATAGATAAATCCCATAGCGATTAAATACGTAGTAGAGCAAGTTTTACATACATGTATCAATTTAAAAGTATTAAACACATGCAAAAGTTAGTTAATAGTAGTCCGTAAGGCTGTTCGTACGTTTTTTGTCATTTAGAATTCGGATTTTTTTGTGATATTAAATTTTACTACCGATTTTTGCTTAAAATTTGTGCAGCGTTCAATATTATTAAATAGATAATTTATTTGATATAAAAACTTTAAACTTGGTTGAAATTTTTAAAAGAATATTCTTAAAAATAATTTTAAAATGTCTCAGAAAGCTGATATTGCTTTGATTGGTTTAGCTGTAATGGGACAGAATTTAATATTAAATATGGACTCCAAAGGTTTCATTGTATGTGCATATAATAGAACAATTGAAAAAGTAACACAGTTTCTTAACAATGAAGCCAAGGGCTCGAATGTTATTGGAGCAACATCATTGCAAGATATGGTTTCAAAATTAAGAATACCTAGAAAAATCATGTTGTTAGTAAAAGCAGGGAGTGCCGTTGATGAGTTTATCAACAATTTGATTCCATTATTACAACCAGGAGATATAATTATTGATGGTGGTAATTCTGAATATCAAGATACAGCAAGAAGGTGTAATGAATTAGAAGTTAAAGGTTTATTATATGTGGGATCAGGTGTTAGCGGTGGTGAGGAAGGTGCCCGTTATGGACCATCTTTAATGCCTGGTGGACATCATGAAGCATGGAAACATATTCAGCCAATATTTCAAAGTATTTGTGCTAAGGCTGATAATGAACCTTGTTGCGAATGGGTTGGTGAAGGTTGGTGAAATGTTTTTAGTTAACTGTTTTATAATTTAAAAATTTTCAGAAATCTAATGTATTATTGTATTTGCATTTAACGAAAAAACGACTTTCATAAATGATTAATGGACGAAAGCTTTTAAGTTTTATTTTTACATAAATATTGAAGTTTTATGTAAATGTGCATTTGAATAAAATATTCAAAGTCAAAATGGAAAAAGTGTGACTAAGAAAAAATTTTTGCAATATGGGTTAATAACAAGCTTTCGATATGTATAAAAATTTTATTTTCTAATCGGATATAATATATACATATGTACAAGTTCACCCTAAAAATCGGTTTCTTCATTTTCAAAACACATGTCTACACAAAGTATAATATAAATTGCTTAACTGTATATCATTGTTGAATTATATACATACATTTCTACATAAATATGTATGAACATATTTAAGTCAGATTTATTCGTCACATTCTTCCATCCAAATTTTTAATGGCATGCGTATGAGATGAATGGGATCATAGCCTAACATCTCTTATTTTATTAAATTTTATTTTATCTTTTATTCTATTTTTTTCGAAAAGCTCAACATTTCGTTTTATTTTATTACATATCTTGCCACTTTTTATTTTTTTTTACATACCTACATATACATATGTATGTATATAATTGTCATGTAATTTTAGCAATTTTAAAATTTTTACTTCGAAATAAATATAACAGTATAAAAAATCGTTTAGGTGGTGCTGGTCACTTTGTCAAAATGGTTCATAATGGCATCGAATACGGAGATATGCAATTGATTTGTGAGGCTTATGATCTGATGCGTAATTTAGGATTAACACAATCAGAAATGTCGAAACAGTTTGCTAGGTGGAATTCCGAGGAACTAGATTCATTTCTAATAGAAATTACAAGAGATATATTAAATTATAAAAACTCTGAAGGTGAACTGCTATTAAGAATTCGTGATACAGCTGGTCAAAAAGGTACAGGAAAATGGACTGCAATTGCTGCTCTTCAATATGGTGTACCTGTAACGTTAATTGGAGAAGCAGTTTTTTCTAGATGCTTATCTGCATTGAAAAATGAACGAGTTGAAGCAAGTAAACTATTGAAAGGAGCAGCTACAAAACCTTCAGTAGCAAATTTACAAAATTTTTTGAATCACATTAAACACGCTCTCTACTGTGCAAAAATTGTTTCATATGCCCAAGGTTTCATGTTGATGAGAGAAGCTGCAAAGGAGAACGGGTGGAACTTAAATTATGGTGGAATTGCATTAATGTGGCGTGGTGGCTGTATTATTCGTAGTGCATTTTTGGGAAATATTAAAGAAGCTTTCACGAGAAACCCGCAACTTTCTAATTTATTATTAGACGGTTTTTTTAAAAAGGCTATCGAAAGTGGCCAGGAATCATGGCGTCAAGTTGTTAGTCATGCATTTATGTGGGGTATTCCAGTTCCAGCTTTATCATCAGCTCTCTCATTTTATGACGGATACAGAAGTGAAAAGCTTCCAGCTAATTTATTGCAAGCTCAAAGAGATTTCTTTGGTGCACATACTTATGAATTGCTTGGTCAGGAGGGCAAATTTGTGCATACGAATTGGACCGGTACTGGTGGAAATGTTTCAGCTTCAACCTATGATGCTTAAGCAATAAATCCATTTCCTACAATATATAAAATTATACTTTCTGAACATGCATACATACATACATATATAAATTGGTATAATAAGGGATTATGCGGTAGTTATTTTAGGTGTGCAGGTCGTTTATATCCAAAAAGAAAAAAGTAAATGTTTTGGAATTGGATTAAAATTTTGTTATAATATTAAATTGTTAAAATATTTTTTAAGAAATAAATTTTGATATTTGATAATAGAAATTTCTTGCTTATTTTAGCATGCGTTTTTGATGCTTTGCTGAAGAAGACACTTCAATCGACATTTCAGCTTTGAGGTAAGGGAAATTAAGTTTTCATTCGCTTAAAAACAGTTTAGTAATATACAGGGTGTCCGAGACTCAATGGTATCGCGGAGCAGGGTGATAGAATGCATGCAGACGAACAAAAAACACCTGGTGACATTTTTCTTTTTGGGCCCTTGTTCAAAAAGAAAAATGCAAAAACCGGCTTATTTCCACATTTTTATTTATAACTCCGGAAATGTGACAAGTAAATCCAATCTTGTAGACTCGTTTTATAGCTAATGAAATCCTCATTCTAACGGTATGCCAGCGGTTGCAAAGAACTTTTTAATTTCCGAGATATTCAAGTGCAAAGTCAAAATTGATTAAAATTTTTTTTTTAATTTTCGTTTAACCGTCATTGACTCTTAATTCCACGTTATCAACCTATAATTTTTTTACAGGAAGACGCCCTATATTCTGACCTTCATTTTAATATAACGTAATGTGGGAAATTTTTAGAAATAACATGTCTATCAGACGAAAACTGAGGCCAAATCCTTAAAAAATTAACTAAACCAAAGTACTTTTCAAACAAAAACAATTCTTTTAATCTTTATTACGCAGTACTAATTCATTATTAACATTTATTTTTTCTTTTACAAAATGAAAGACATTTGCATTACATTAATTTCTTTACATTTCCAAAAGTTTCAGGAATATCGTGTGTACGAGGATCAAATTTATAAAAAAAACAACAAAAACGAGTTTTTTCGTAACAAATTAATTATAATCCAATTAATGTTCACCCTTTAACCTTCTTTGTATTTTGTTTTTATTCTAAAAATTCAATTCTTGATCTTCAGGTATAGTTAATGTGGAAAATTTTAATTTTCATATTACATACAAGAATGTTATTTTGTAAGTAAACTGCTCTTTTTTATATCCATATATCCTTATAATAATACTTTTAATAATACTTTTAATTAATACTTTTAAACAGACAAAGCCAAATCAACTCAGAATTCGACACTGATCAAAAACAAACCTACTGTATAGGTTATATTAGGAACTACTAGCGCCATGATTCAATGATTTTTACGATGGTTAAACTAAGTTCTTTAAATATTTCCTAATTTTTTAAATTTTAATTGTATTTTATATATTAAATGCTCCAAAGTTAAGGACTTAATGCTCCTGAGTTCTCTTTTTTCCATTCGCTTTTGCGAATTTTGAGTTAAAACTAGTTCCACAGATTTTGAGGCATGATGTTTCTATTTCTGCCTTCGAATTATATCTACTTTAGTTTCAAAGAAAATCAGTGGGCACTTTGCACCATATACACCTTTTTTTAATTTTTTCTCATTACAAATATAATACTGTATAGATATTTCCTATGCCAAACTAAAAAAGGAATGTTTTTGTCATAATTACACGTAAAAAATATTTATGCCAATTTAAGGTCATTGCCATAGACAATGTATTCAGTTTATGTTTTGAAAAAAATGGGAAACAAGAAGGTTTTTCTTGCACCTCTAATTCTTCCGCTGCGGCTTCGGAATAGGTGATTTTTGATTCAAATTTGAACCCATTCATTTAAAAAATATAATATGAGACCAAATATGGAAAAATATTTTAGCTTCGAATTAGGGATTATAGAAATTATTCTGATTATTTAGTCGAAATTAAAAATAAATTAGGAAATTTCATGTTGAGGAAAAATTCAAATGAATTCTTTATTATTTTCTCAGTTTCTTTATTGTATTATTTTCTTAATTTCGGAATCAGAATTTAAATCAATTAACTTCCATCAGAAAAAACACTCTCTACTATTATCTCCCTACCTTCACATATATTTTCAATTTATCCATATTCATAATTTAAGAATTTTTATTTAAAGAAATATGTATATAAATTCCCTATTAATGTATATAAAAACTAATATGTATATAAAAACCTATTAACTTAGTGGTAACTCTATTTACCACAGTAAAATACTGCTGATACGTATGTATATTCACCATAACACGAGTTAGTGAAAGGGCTTAATCTATTTTTGTGCCATTAATTTTAACAGATCGAAAAAAAAGAAAACATAATTTAACATATAAAGATCTTTAAAGTTTTTTTCTATTTTAAGTAAATTAAACAGATTTTTAATCTATGTGTCTGAGCGTATCTAAATGTGAAACTATAACTTGAAATTATGTGAAGGATGTGAAAGTAACCGCAAATTCTTTAACGTCAAAATTTTGATTTTAGTCTGCAAACTGAAACTAAAACTTTTACGGACAGAAATCTAGTAAACTTTTTACCCGTAATTGACTTTGAATTTTGATCATCCGTAAACGTCAAAACAAAAAAAAATTTTTTTTTAGATTTAAAATAATTTTATACTTACATATTAAAAATTAACAATAAAAATATTTTTTATATTATTTTTAACGTAATGATAGTCACTCAACACATCAAATTTATTTACTGAATTACTACGTCAGACTGTCTGCATATAAAAAAAAAATCTACAATTTTGACGCTTAATTGACTTTTTTTAAACGTTTAAGAATTTAAACTTTGACTGAGAGTAAAAACCTAGTAGAGTATCCGTAAACTCAGACAACTCAGATTTTGTAAAATTTGACGTTTAAGAATTTACCATAAAACTTAAGATTATGAAAATGAGTTTTACACACTTCTTTCAAATTTTAAGGAAGTTAGTAAGCTTTAAGTTAACATACCTAAATATTAAAGTGTAAATTTGGTTCTCAGAAGAGCTTCGCTTTGTCCCATTTGAATTCCCAGAAAACTTTGCCGGTTAGTTTCGGTAACAATCAAAAACTTATTTAAAGTTACTTAAAAGGGCTTATTGTTTTAACGCCCCGAATTTAAATAATCAATTTCAAGTAAATCGGTTGATTATTGATCTATATATATGCGGAAATATGTAAAATCGACCCGCAAAAAGACCCAGTTCCTGGGGTTGGATATATCCCAAAACTTGATTAATCCGTGACATAGTCAAAATAAACTCATACATAAGATTTCATTAAAATCGATTTAGCCGAGCTTGGGATACACGCATGCACATACAAACCAAGTGAACGATATTTGTTTAAAAATAGTCTACTTACAGTGTAGCACCATCCATCAAATAGTAATAGCTTAATAATTTCATTAAATTTTTTGCAGGGAAAATACCCAAGGTTAGGCCCAAAATGCGGTAATACAGAATTACTACGCAATTCAGCTTATGAGTGTAAATTTCTGAATTATGCGGTAATACGAGTTTAGCGTCGGGGATTTTTTCGTTTTCTTAAAATTTATAAAATGTTTTCTTTATAACCCGCATCCATACACTTAACCCTAACGTATCCAAATTTTGAGTTAAAATACCTTGCCATTTTTATTTGCTATTTTAAAAGGATTTCAATGAAGTTTTGTTCCATAGAATTATTATTACTTATAATTTTAGTCAGCACACTCAATTTCTTATTTGCTCCAATGCAATGAAAACTTAATACAGGCTAACTCTAATTATGTACACTAAAAACTACTTTGTAATCGATTCGTTGAATGGAGCAAACTGTCCACTGTGATTTATCCGATAAAATATGAAATTTTCGACAAGTAATTAAGTGACACTAAAATAGTTTCTGGTGACACCTTTGATATCTGGCGTAGAATGGAGCAAACTATCCACTGTGACTTATCCGATAAAATATGAAATTTTCGACAAGTAATTAAGTGACACTAAAATAGTTTCTGGTGACACCTTTGATATCTTAGTAAATTAATCAATAATACTTCTTTAGTATTGAATAACTCTTTATTGCAGTGATGAGCAACCAGCGGCGACTGATGTTTTTTTTGCGACTTAAAAAAAAATTAAGTTTGTTTCACTTATTCACTTATTTACTTATTGTTTAAAAAGAAGATTTCCCAAAGACAATATTTTCTTTGGTTAAATGTTGGCTTTTCGCAGTATGCTCAATGCGTACTCAGATCTTTGTACACCGTTTTGTTTTAACACAGTCTAAAAAATTTAATTCAATATACGTATACATATCTATTTCTTATACGAATTTTTAACTTAAGCATGGTTTGAATCGGTTAATTTTCATCAATACAAAAAGATAATAAAATAAGTTTGATAAAATTTAAAAAAATTAAAAAACCACGCTTATACAATGCTCACCAAGCAAATATTTCTAAACTTGTCACTTTTAATACTTATTTTTATTTTTTCTTATTATAATTTTTCAATTACTATTTTTATAATAATATGTTTAAGTTTAAGAAAATAATTATAATATCTAAGATACATTCAATAAACATTTAAGAATAACTACAAAATGCCTTGAAATTACTTATTACTGAAATTAAACTTAAATTATTACTTATTTATACTTATTAGCCCAATTTAAAAAACGGTTGCTCATCACTGCTTTTTTGGACCAATTTTTTTTAACGTTCAAACTTTCATTTTTTATTTTTTGAATTGTACTTTGAGGCTCATGGAGCAAAAGATAATTCCGGCGACGATGTGTTAAAACAAAAACCATTATGTTTATTAAAAATCAGTAAATTAAAAAAGTTGGGTCAAACCAATGATTTGTATTATAACACTTTTCCCTTCAACAAGTGAAAATACTGCTTTGCAAAACAATCGATGACCTATTAAAACATTATTAAAATTATTTTTATTCATATACGAAACTATTTCTAGGATTGCATATATTTAGGATGAACGGTTTATGCAGTTTTTGAAATAAAGCAAAAATTTATTTAAAGAGGGATTAACATAATGCTCGATTTTAATGTTAATTGCGTGAGTTAAGAAAAACAATTATATTTTTTAATGTCATGGAATTTACCGTTTCCTTTCTTCGTTTTTAGAAATTTGAAAAAGCTTGCGGTTTCGGAAATATAAGGGGCCAAAAATTCAAATTTTACAAATTTCAAGAGGCGATAACTTGACAG